TGTAGAGCGAAAAAAGCACTTTCAAAAGGTATAGGCGATTTTTAGGGTTTCTCTTGTACTGATTGAATTTATACGCCCAAAAAAAAAAACGCTACGATATTATGCACCAACCCAATATAAGAATTGCGAAATCATATCTGTTATCAAGGTTTTTCATTTATCCAGCGTTCTTTTGTGTGAATGGCGCCGAACTGTGGTGTAAACTGCATCATAAGCATTGAATATTGGTGCTTCGTTCCCTACTCTGTATTTGTATGATCAGGTACTGTGAGTGAGCTGAGTTCATTGTTCATGGAGGGCGATAGAGCCTATCATACTGTAAAGCTCTTACTATCCAATAATGAATGCAATGCAAGAGGCTAACCTCGGTTTTTTCCCAAGCGCAATGGTCAGTAGTACGGTGCAAAGTAGGTACTGATTGGTTCCCTTCTTGAGATAAGTCACGTATTTTAGGCCTTTTTTTGCGCCTATAATGACGTTTTTATTTCAATTGCCACTATCCAACCATTGGCGCGTGAGGTCTCGGCGATATGTGAAATCCGCATTTGTCCCCTATTTCCTGAAAGAATCAATGCATGACCGCACGGCAAGAGAATGAAGCTTTTGTTGGGTGATATTTGATGTCAGGATTAACTGCAGACGCAGTGCATGGTAAACGTCGTTATCTGCCGCAACTAGCTTTACGTTAATGCCTAAACTGGCCGTTCATTTTGCGCGAATTTTGGAACGTCAACTCGAAATGCAAAAATTTGTTACCACGAGGAATCGAACTAGGGACCTCCTTTTCTGGTATTCAGAGGGCCGTTCAGGAAAAATTAAACATGGTTCTGTGGTTCCCGCATCTGCCCCTATATCATGCAAAAGACCGTTTTCAAAAAGCTTGTCACGCCCTGAAAGACCTTCCTGGTAAGTTCATTGTTCGATGGAAAGGGCGATAGAGCCTACCATACTGTAACGCTCTTACTATCCAATAATGAAAGCCAGGAGAAGGATGGCGTAACTTGGGTTGAACTGTAACGGTCAAAGTATTCTTACAAAGTAAGTACTGATGGGTTCCCTTCTTGGATAAGCAGTAGTTGTACCTTTTTTTCGATATGCGTTTTGATGTCAATTTGGTGACACATGCAGCGCGGAGGTCTCGGCGATATTGAATGCAGCATTTGTCCCCCTATTCCCTGAAAGAATTCAATAGCAGTGAACTGTCAACGAAGAGAAGGAAGTTTTGTTGGGTGATATTTGAATCAGGACGGTGCATGGTAAACGGCGTTATCTGCCACTACCACTTTGCCAGTAAGCGGTAGGACCATGCAACATCCAATTCTTTGAATAATTAATTTATTCTGCTCACAAAGAATAAATTTTGCAACTTGCTCTTTCTTTGAATGCAAATGCATGACCACTATATTCTTTGTTTCTGTGAATTATGAAATCAACAGCTTGTTCAGATGGAGTAAGATTTCCAAATGAAAGATCAATCGCGCATTCACTTTTGAGTACCAGAGCTCTTCAAACTTCCCTTTATCCTGAAGATCTTGAATTCTCATCATGAAAACGTAGTTGGTCCAACGATAGCTGCGGCTCTTTGTTTGGCCCACCCAATACTTAACATTACTTAGGGATATTTCCTTTGACTTGTGTCTCTTCGAAGAGAACAGCTATAATGATCGCAAAATTCATTTTATTTGACTTCATGAACTGTGATTGTAAATCACCTACCGAACTGAATTTGGCATTTCAAATTGGACATTTCGTCCAATTCAACACTAAGCGGTAGAGCGATGACTGAATGCGGGATTCTGCAGCACCATGATTGAGCCATGAAAGGCCGTCGGCGATTCAGCAGCACTTCATCAACACGCAAACGTGGCGTGCCGTGTTGATAAACGAGCGCTCGCTGTTCATCATGTTCAATGTATTCTGAACGATGCATTAAGTGAAGTGAACGTGCGTGTGTAAATAAGCGCTTCACTTCACGCTTCTGCTGCTTTCACCCGGACACTTTCACAGAGCCCTGTTGCTGTGTGCTGGTGTCCGATCGGTTGTCGGTCGTTGCCGGTTCACCCGTCCGTCTCGTCGTCCATCGGCACTTCCTCCATTTACGGCCTTGTCGTTCTTTCATCTCGGCGATTCTGGCCGCATCACGCTCCGATCACATAACTCCGTTTTGCATTCATAGTGCTCGAATTCAATCAGCCGACGGAGGCTTTTCGCAGCTGCCTTTTCAGATCGTACAGCCCATGTATGAGTGCGAGGGTGTGACGTAATACGGCCGTGCTGGCCCAGACCACACCTGAGACATACTCCTACGTCTCCGTTTCCGACAACATCTTCGTCAAAGCATATCTCTCTATATTTTTGAAACAACGAAACGTTCGCACCAGTCACCGACATGCAATGATAGTTCGAAATCGGGCAATCGTATAGGTCAAAACATGCAGTTGTGCAGTGTGGATGCCCTGCTCACACCTTCCATTCTCAGCCGTAATCGTGGTTCCGCCGATTTCTCACCTCATTCGCAGAGATCGTTAAGGTTTCTCATGATGGCCTCATATCTCTACTGTTCATTAGCGATGTGTCAAGGAATATCAATCATAACAAAGTACCTTCTGAATGGGCGTTTTTTGCGAGGGGAGGAAAAGCGGATGTGAAGGTAGCATTCAATTTATGGACGTTTGAGTGATTCGTCTACCATCCGGAGTCTTGCTTTGCTTCTTTAGATAACTCGAGTAAGCGACGAACTCACTCAATTCAGGGTTTCGAAACAAGCTATGAACAGCTTGGCCTGTCTTCGGCGCCTTGAAGTGCTGAATTAGTAGTAGGGAGGTAGAGAATGGTCCAGCCCTTGAGCACTGCAAAATTCTCAAATAATCTAGCCAAACATTTGATCTTACAATACTTCTTCTTAAGAAATGAACCACTTTATATAGGCACATTTCCAGAGGTTCACGTTGACTAATCTCATGCATTTCTTGTCTGTTTTTAGTTTAGAGAGTGCTTTATAGTGTATGTTGAAATGGACAAAATTACTAGTTCTTCCTCGTACCCCTTTTCTTAGTAGAAAAATTGGCATTTTCAGCAAAAACGTTCCTCTTATAGGATATTTCGAAAATGTTTTTCTGCCAAAATATGTATGTAGCTGTCGAGTTAACTCCAATATCCTATGTCCGTAGTACCAGTAACATCAGAGGCATATGTACAATCGCTCATGATCGATTTTCTTGCTAATATTTTAGCACTGATTCTTTTGATTCTTTTCAGTACTGCTCACCAATTACCACGTAATGTTTTTTGTGTAGTACTCTAACCAGGAAAGTTTTTAAGAACATGGGACTCTTTTTCGAAACGGTTTCTTGTATATTTCAGAGAGACGCGCATTGAACCTTGGGATCAGTTTTCTGAACGGCTCTAGGAAAGCCAACAGCATGTGAATAACAAGGCTTGTGGCTCAATCCTCACTGAAGACAAGTTTTTGCATTTGTCTGATTTCCAGTTTTTTGGGCTAATAAACGTCTAAACTTATGTGAACAAAAAGCTTATGCAGAGTTGCAACGCCATACATGCTGTAAACTTTAATAAAATCTGTAAAGATTTTATTTCCGCAGAAGGTCTTGTGCTTTTCATTTAGCAATCCCAGGGCCGCTCAGGAAAAATGATTACCTGTTTTAAGCTCAGCGCACGTGCAATGACAGGACAATTCTGAATTAGTGCTTCCTAAACGACTTTTCTGGCAGAAGGGTTTTTTATTCTAGTGCAAATCCGTGTAGTCAAAACGATTTTAGTATTTTATACGATAAATTTGGTATTTCGAATTCTGGGGTGATTAGCACTAGCGAATACATCGCAGCCGCTGTTGCTTGGGCATGGAAATCCAAGCGATCACAATTTATCCCACTTTTATTCAGGCAGCGTCAGAGAGTTCAATGAATAATTATGTATACAAACGTGGATGTTGACTTTTCATGTTTTAATCGCATTCGATCTGAGCTTTTCGTTATGAATCACGTGAATGTGTCATGAAGCAAATAGCTTAGATATTTTTCTTGAGCATGACTTTCCTTCCTCTATCGCTGGAGCCCAATTGTCACAACGCCTCTCCAATGGTCGTGAACAAGCTGAGCAGCTTTCCATTAAGCCACTCTCTTATAACCACATATTACACATGTTACCTTTTGCAGGTAACTGTAAGGGTATGCTCAACATTCTCACCACTGTTCAGCGCCCCTGACATTAGATTTCCCTCGGGTGGAGAATAGTCCTCGTGCGAAACCGAGGGGGTCGCGATCTCATACAAACGGCGAGCAGAGTAGGCGTTTGTTCTAGCTGCTTCGAAAGCATTACAAGGATGTGCAAATAGTGTTTGCAACGAGGCACTCGACGATTTCTCACCGCATATTGTTTTCATATAAAATTGTATGCAAATGTTGTTCATCCAGCCAGGCATCTGAAAACGCTCGCTCATCACGACTATCCCGATGCCGCCGCTTCACCCGACACACCTGCACCACCTGCAGCATACCAATCGTAAAGTTATGAGAATTCACACATTCACTGCTTTCTCGCTTCCTTACTGCCTTCTTGCAGTCGACTTCATCATGTGCCGACTCCATTATGCATGCATTTCTATGCGAAACGCGGCGAGATCGCTTAGACGATGACATCGTCGTGGTCCGTGGCCGTCACGTTTTTCATAGAGAAGTCCTCATTTTGTGTCGTCTAATTCTCATCTGAACTGCCATTTCACCACCACCTGCAAGGACATTTGCGTTTCTTTGTAGTATCAATTAGCGCGCTGAACAAGATGCCTCATCATCCATTCGGACGCGACGCCATCGTTCACACTCGATCTTCGCGCCACGATTGTCTGCCCTCATTCCGCTAACTCTTGGCCACCCCTCGATGCATCATAATCCGATTTGATCTTGTTTCAGCCTCCGAATGGCCGACAGTAACTTCTACAACAATAGCCATTTGTAAATATCACCGTTGTTGCTGAAGAGCGAATGATGCCGACGCTCGAGCCACAACTCTCCATCGATGATATTCTCGTCAAAGAGCAACTAATGAATGATGAGGTTTCGTCAAATGGCCAAAACTCCCTCCGGACCTCACGATCATCTCTTATCAAAAGGAAGTGAGTTAATCTTCAAAGTATAATTTGTGAAACGGCAAACCAAAAGATGTTATGGTACATCTAACGTTCGACAGAGTCGTTGAGGTCCGAGTGGCCACAATATTTTGGGATCATTCATGGACTCAAATATCTGGAACCTCACACCACGCAAGTCATTGTAGACAAATAAGCGTACACATGGCAAATCGGTTGAAATGCGTGGCACATTCCAAAAAAGGATGGCAGAAGTCGGATTTTTAATATTTCTTTTCCATGCACAGTAAGAAGGAATAAGTCCGGAAAGAGAACCAGTTGTATAAAATCGGGAGCTTTTTATTTTTCTTATTTTTCCTCCTAAGCCTCTGCGACATGTGTTTGTCATCAGCAGTTTAGATTTGGATCCATCAACATAAAGGTAGTCTATCCAATGCAACAAATGTTTTAGTATAAAAGATTCGAGACTCAGAAAACATCGCTTTCTGGAGTTTAGGCAACAAATGAGAACTGTTTTCAGAAAACGTCACCATGGTCGTCATCAATACTTGCCTGTGGCGTTCGCGGCATCGTTGTTCGGGATTCTAGCCACTGTCAGCCTTCTGTTGGCTCTTGCATGTTTAGTCATACGGCAAAAGTCATGCGAACATCCTCTACCTTCCAGAGGCTCAACAAATCTCAGAGAAGACAGAAGCAGGGTGAGTGGCTTCAAAATGCCCCATTACAGTAACCAATCTCGCCATGTTCGCCCCCTCGCAATGTGCAGCGTTGCTGTAGTGAAAGTGAAATTTAAAAAAAGGAAGAATACAGCACTTTTATTTAAATTGAAGGTGATCGAATATTCTGGCTGATTTATATTGAAATTCAGGAAAATGCAAAGTTAGATAATTTCAAAGGAGAGCAGGATAGGGTTGGCAGAAGTCGTACTTCTTGGCAATCCCTTTTATTGTTAGGCCTTCATACTCATATCATTAGTTGTAGGAATAGCCCGTGATCTTACTGGTAACCTTTTACTGAACTCTAGGAGCAGAGGAACTGTTCGAAGTAATGGAAGGTTGAATCCGGAGGACATCGGTCAAATTCATACACTAGCCAGTATAAAGTTTGAGCAGGAACCTTCACTTGTCCCACTACTCCGAACGGTTCCTTAGACCTCCAGTAAGCTATCAAAACAATTTTGAGCTACAAATGGACAATGTGCCGGGAGGCCTTGTCCTGCGCCCTTTTTTAGCGCATCCTACATACATACCTAGCACTTGCATGCGCAACACCTTGGGCCACCCAAAGTTTCATACGGGTAATTCTAAATCTCGCAAATGAGTCATGGTCGACATACTGAGGGTAGTGATCGCCCGATTTCAAACCATGGAAAAGCGCTGACCCTTGCGTAGGAATGAGAAAAGTGTTCCCGTCTGTCTGAATGCAAAGAAACAGCTATGTCTATGCAGGTGTTTCGGAATTCCTCTTCCAGAAACATTTGTTACTCATTCCGATTTAGCTCGATCGAATATCAAAGGAGCTTTCGGATCACTTCAGTCCAACTCGAATCAAGCAGAACCTGAGGTGGATGGCCTCAACATCACATATCGCTGGAACTGTCGAAAATGCTGCACTGATTCGACGGCTTAGTGAAGAGGTGCTTCATTACTTCAATTACTACGCTGCTTTAATTCGTTAAGTTAGGTAACTTAGTAAATGCTTAAACAAAAAACATCACTGGCTAAATACCTCGCTGTTTGAGCTGAAGAAAAAAGTCCATCGTGCTTTCTTTGTTGCTGTGATACAATTTCCATTTCCCATGATATAGTTTTTTGATATTCTAGGGTTCTACAGAACAAAAAGTTTCAATAGAATGGAAAAATCTAATTTAGTCATTGTCTGACAGGCTGAAACATAGGTCGAGGAATCCAGAATTACGATAGGAGGAACGGGTACTCATATTTGAACTGCTGGTTCGAGGAGAGGATTCGTATTATGCCATGATCAATTGTGATTTTCCAGTTATTAAGGGAGAGCAAAGAGTGAGAGAGTTCACGTGACTATTAAAATCGCAATGTTTACGTTTGATGCAGCTATTTTATTGCCCAACCCACACTTCTCCACCTACAAATCCTCAAAGTCAAACACGGAACCTCCCCCTTCCATAAAAATAAGGACCGGTATCGAGAAATCTTCTATCGGCTCATCCTTCTCACAGTTCTTGTAACTGGGATAATCAGCTCAATCTGCTGACTGACATAGGGTGAATTCTGTTTGGGGGAAGGGAAGTCCATTGTTTCCCCAAACGGTAACTATTGATGTAATGTGGAACAAACCCTGAGATGCTTTCACATTTCCGCCTGCCATGTTCCAAGCAAATTATCTTGGAATAGACACCTCTACTTAGGCTTAAGGGTAGGAACCTTCAGGGAGGATGACCTGTGCAGAATAGTGGAGAGGATGTGGGCAATACAATACCGCTCACAGAATGTGAAAAAATGACGGTGATTGACCGTCGCACCTATCAAAGACCGTCGCACTACCATAACTCCGCTGAAAGCGAATGAAACGGAAAAATTTAAACTCCTATAGATACGTCTCCACACAACGAGTTCTAAGCCATTATTGCCACTATACGGCACAATAGGTCATACTCTTGGAATAACCATTCGATTCGTTGGTCATACATTTCGCTTAAGCGCAATTTCGGAAAGAAAAGAAAAGTGATTGTGCTCGAAGAATTTGACGTATACCGATATTCAGAGCTAAATTATGTAAGAACCGCTTTGCTGCATTCCAATAAACAACAAAGTTGTTGCGCAGTTACATACCTAGTTCAAGATCTTGTAGCCGTTTCGTCGTATTTCCTCCAGACTTTGATGAAATACGCTTTCAAAATTTGGAAATGTCGTAAAATTGAAGGGCTCGTTCGCATCGGGAACGACTGTGAAACATGGATAAAAATGCATCAAAAAAGGAGGAGTGTGCGAGCGGTAGACTACTGTGCACATAAACATGGGATCTAACGAATGGTGTTCTACCTTGAGGTCAGAATTGGATTTTGCCCCAGCTTAAAAGGTAAAGCTGGTGACCTACTTAACCGATCCCGACCCATAACACATCCTGGAACTCGTTGTGAGGAGACGTATCTATAGGAGTTTAAATTTTTCCGTTTCATTCGCTTTCAGCGGAGTTATGGTAGTGCGACGGTCTTTGATAGGTGCGACGGTCAATCACCGTCATTTTTTCACATTCTGTGAGCGGTATTGTATGTGTGAGATGTAGGACATCCACCGGTTTTTGTCAAAAGTACGCTACAAATGAGTCGTTCACTTATTATCTTATCCGTAGTGTTCGATAGTACGAGGGAGATCTCCTCTAGTACTACGGAGAAGATAGCAAGGAGTGCCCTCTCCAAAATGGAGTTTCATCTTGACATAGCATTAATGCCATCCGTTAGGCAGTCCATGTCACATTCGACTTGTTGGCCGAAGTGAAAACTCCATGACCATCTAACTTGTTTCAATGCACTCAAAATTTGAAGGCTGGCTACCCTTCATTATGACCCAATTGAAATAATCCATGAACGCAAGCATCCATTCCATGGCCCCACAATGACTAGACGAAACACTAATGGAAAGCTCTAAACAGTGACTTCATATTGTAGACGCTAAGCTACACAATGGTGCCGAACCAATGCTCTTATGGCACTTTTCTGTCACGAAATTTGGAGAGTATAACGTCTATGGGGAAGCTAAATTTTCACCAATCGTCCATCCATCACCCTTTTCAATTTTTATAAAAACTGTCAGGTTAGATCAGAAAAAAAGTTTTGAAAAATAATTTCTAAGAGTCGCAGTATGGGTATCTTGTTTTTTGTTTTCGAAATTCTTTTTTTACAAATTTCAAATCTTTTAGTCTTCATTTTCTCTACACCAGCACATTCTCATAGTTAATGTATGTTTGTTTTCAGTACGGTCGTCTTGGCTTTTCGGTGAAGGCGTACAACTACAGCGTTCTATTGAACTATCCGGATTTCGAGAATCCAAACACGGTGGAAGTGGAAAAAGAGGGCGGTTTATGGTGGCGTTTGAGTCGCGGACGTGGTCATCCCAGCGGACCTCAACAAGCTGTCAACGAGGTCGTTCGCGCTACGCCTAATGTTGCATACACAATCACACTTTTGCTCCTTTGAAAATTCACGATTCACCCATTTCTTTCTACCAACGAATCGTGAAATTCTAGTAGTTAAAATAAAATGGTGGTATGTATAGGAAAAGAAACTAAGAACTTAGAACGCTGGCTAGGAGTGTTTACCTTCAAAAATTTGCCCAGCGTTTTGAAGCGATTTGTAGTGACACAATATTTTGCCTATTTTTTCGGGACTAGGTACATGTAAGCTTAGCCACAAACTGACCGTTCCAATTCCGAAACAAATCAAGCTTCAGCAGCGAGTTGTCGTTTCGAAAGTTATCGCTCGTAGTGCAGTTTTGTGCGAAAGGGCGTTATTGTAGTGTATCTAATCCTAACTTATAGATGTATTCAATTGAACCAGGTAAGGAGGATATCATGGTTTTCGAGGGGAAAAATAGAGAAGAAATTCAAATGATATTTTCCGTAGGTATTCCCAAGTTGTTGTCTATTGAATTTTATAAAACGATTGAAAGTACATATACCCCGTTCAAAGAACGAGAAGAGCGTCGGGTGATAAATAGAAAAGAAATTCAAATGATATTTTCCGTAGGTATTCCCAAGTTGTTGTCTATTGAATTTTATAAAACGATTGAAAGTACATATACCCCGTTCAAAGAACGAGAAGAGCGTCGGGTGCAGACCCCAAATGACGACGGCCCCCCCCCCCCTAAAATGTAAATGTTCTCTTCCACTGAAATGATTAAAACTTTTGCAGTTGTATTCAATCTCACTATGAACCACTACTAACCAGATTCACTTGGAGGCCGTCGTCACTTGTGGTGTATGGTCTGCACCCGACGCTCTTCTCGTTTTTTGAAAGGGAGGGTATTCATGCTCTCGACTGGTGTTTTGAATTTGATCAGCCGTTTCAGAGACAACAGCCCTCAGTGCGATTGAGACAACTTGCTATGACTTTGAGCACTTGGAGTAGAATATCTCCACCAAATCTTGTAAACAACTCTGGCACCACGTTGCCACTGTAAGGAATGAGAGCTATAGTTAATCTGATTATGATGCCTCCAGAACTACAGGGTCGTGCGTATAGCACCTCTGACCGTCGCCACAGCTGAAGCTTAACCCCTTCCCCTTTTTTTCTGGTCTTTTGCATGCACGGCAAGCAAGTGAATCACATATAATCAGATTGAAAATACTGCCACCTTCCAAATCTTTACTCAAGATTATAGAGTTGCTCACCTTGTAACAAACACCATTAGATTTGTCACTTCGAAAAACCTAATGGTTTAGCAACTAGATGGCCGTTCCGAAGTTTGGTGGAATGCGTATTCAGCAGATGGATCTGTTGAAGGTCGTATGGTGTACTGCAATTTTGGAACCGTGGAAGATTTCAATACACTTGAAGAGGTTTGTGCTGCAACCCAACCCCATTGTCCTTAGTACTCATTTCGAAAATGTTACTGATTAGTGCTCGCAAAATTCTACCACCCGTAGACGACTTAGAAATGGTAGTTGCTCCCGCAACACACATCGTTATTCATCTATGCGACCCTACAAACTACAGATATCTTAACAATTAGCGAAGGCAACAGCAACAAAACAGCCTTATCTGTTGGGTAATTCAGATGGGTATTGATGTCCAAGGAGCTGTGGTATTGATACGGTACGGTGCCGTAGTGAGATCCGAAAAAGTCGAAGAAGCTGAAAATCGAGGAGCTATCGGCGTTGTGCTGTACAGCGATCCAGCTCAGTACGTCGATTCAAACATTAACGGCGTGAGTTATCTTCTTCAATTACTAATTGATTACAAGTGGTTTACCCTGAAATCTCTCATAAAAGTAAGTGATTTATTATGTATCCATATAATTACCCTCGATTTCGAAAAAAAAGAGGGTGTCCCCCAAGAGGCCCGTCGCGCGGCGAAGGAAGAGACGCAGACGCGGCAAAGGACGAGTCGCAGCGCATACTGTAGCGGTTAGGCGTCAGGTTAAATAGAGTGTACCATACTACGTCTCATATCACAGCACGCGCTGCGACTCGTCCTTTGCCGCATCTGCGTCTCTTCCTTCGCCGCGCGACGGGCCTCTTGGGGGACACCCGAAAAAAGAAGAGCGTCAAGTGCATCCACACACCACAAATGACGATGGCCAAGAATGAAGTGGCTTTCTTTTTTTTATGCTGTCGTCATTTTTGTCGTCACTATCCTCTCGTTTTCCGAAATATAGGATACGTATTCTACCTACATACCGCTTTAGATTTGCCCTGCCCTCGGTCTCAATCGTCCTCCAGTCCTGTCCACTTTCTTTGTCCTGTTTTATTTATCTTCGTGTTCACTCCTCCCTGCCAATCTTCTTTTGCGTTACTCTTTTTTATCGTTTCTAAACTGACATTCCCTTTGTTAGTCCTCGCTTTCATGCACTCGTTTTCGAGCCTACGTTATTAGCCTACCTCACCAATATCTTCCTCCTAACTGACTCTTACTTTTCCTAATGTCTTCCACCCGATGGTCAGTTTTTGTCAAAGCCAGCCAATACATGCTTTTCACACTGCAGTGTACCCCTCTCTAACCATGACCGGGGAAGAGAAAAGTTCACCGGCGGCGCGGACGCGAGCGCGTGCAGCTGACGTCACAGCTGCGGCAACAGCACGACGAGATAAGACTAAAAGCGTCGCTGCCACTTCGCTTGAATAGTAGAAGGGTGGCTGGCACCTCACCAACTAGTGCAATCTTGTGCTAAGTGATTGTATGGTGTAAAGGCACTTATCGCCCTTGAAACTTAGAATCTGATGCCAATAAGGAAGAAATTAACGGTTTCGTGTGTAAACCCTAACAAATTCGCAACTAATTCGAAGTTGATTTCAATAAGTTCCATTCTTCGTTATTACTTCTGCTCACTGCATAGTGAAGTCAGAGTCGATAGTGTCCTAAGCGCAATGTTATAAAGTATTGGCACCACTCTTGCTCAATCCCATAGCTCAAAGTGACGTCACCTGCACGCGCTCGCGTCCGCGGCGCCGGTGAGCTATTCCATGCAGCCAACCATGACCATCAAAACCCCTCTTGAACTTCTACCTCTCGCAGTTTCTCCCCTCTGTTTTCTCCCGTTTCTAAATTTTTCAGAAACCACGTCTCCTTTCCACCACACCCCTATTCTTCATGTCGTTTCTACCAATCTTGGTCTCATTCCACATGGTAATGAAGGAAAACGTCCCGGCCTGCACTGGCAGGAGTAGTCAATCTCATTGTGACAGTAATAACAATTTTTTTTGGAGCTGAGTAAATCTATTACTAAAACCTCCACTTTTGAGAATTTTTGTCTTTTTTCTCATGTTTTTTTTTGATTGTAGACGTTTCCACATTCTTCGTCTCTTCCTGGGCTCGACGCTCAAAGGGGTTCTGTTGGACGAGTGCCTGGCGATCCCTTAACACCTTTGCTGCCATCACTTCCCTATGTGACACGCAGTGAAAACATGGAAAGTCTCCGACGAAAGAGTACGGTTTTACGAAGCTATAAATTTGTATCTACATGTTACTTCATTGAGTATTAATTTTTAGAAGTGCTACCTGCTATTCCAGTAACACCTATCAGTTACGATGATGCTCAACGAATTATGGACTATATGGATGGTCCCACTGTAACAGTGAGTCTCATTGCTTAGACGTTTAAAGTCCGTAGCCGCCATTCCGTTGAGTCCACTTCCCACCCTTTACCTGTTGGTATGCATTACTAACACGTCAAATCCTTTTCCAAAGGTTCCAAATTCGCTTGCCTAGCAAAAGGTCCTATTACCACCTTCGTGATTTGCGAATCGGATTCCACTCATAACATTGAAGCCTCCCTCACCAGGACCATCCCAAAAATTAGCAGAGCGGCCCTTATTTTCATGTGCGAACCTGCAATTCATTCCAATGATTGCACATCCATTGCAACTGCGACTCCGAACGAACGTCGAGGGCGCGGCGTGTCCTATAATGGCAGGAATCAATACCGAGTACTTTCACCATCATCCTTTTATTTCAGCGGACTGATTGGATCGGTGGGTTATCAAGGTACAGATGGAGCAGTCGTCGGAAATTCCGGCTGAATGTTCGATCAAGGTGCGTGGAATTTGGTACCCTGACTACAATTTTTAAATATTAATTAATATAAAAAATAGAAATATATATTATAATATTCCTTTTCATTCGGTTGAGACGGCAATGTGGTCAATTAAAAGAGATATTCATGTAATTACAGTGTGATTATTGGACCATAACGCTCAATAGATCCCATTTGTGCTGTAGCAATTCAACAAAGGAAATTGTAGCGATCATGAGAATTCATCGTTCAAAATTCATCTTATTCGGTTTCGGTGAAAATTGCAGTGATAAATTCGGAATTAATAGCCGTAAAGCCTAATAGTAGCTCTTGCAGGTTCGCAAAGAGAACTATTACCAATATTATAGCTGTACTGGAAGGAAAAGAAGAACCTGATCGCTGGGTGATGTTGGGAAATCACGTCGATGCATGGGGAAAGGTAACAACGATATGTAGTATCCGTAGTTTTTGCGGTTAATTTCATGTGTAAAAATAACAATCCAGTGGCTGAAAAACTGCTTCTCAAGAAACAAAATTCTCGTAACGGACATGGAAGCGGGTTTTAGACCATGAGCCTTTTCATCCATCCATGAGCCTGATATACTGTAATAGTTCTGTAAAAATAAAATTTTCAATTGGTTCAATTTTAAGGGCGCAATTGATCCGATTTCTGGCACTGCTGTGCAACTTGAGGTGGCAACAGTGTTAGCAAAGGCAAGTGACTCAAATGTTCATCAGACTGCTAGAAGACTTACAAAGATAAACCAATAACTCAGTTCTTGATCAGGTTCTTGAGAAGCACCCACCAAGGCGTTCTATTGTGTTTTGCCACTGGGATGCTGAGGAGTTTGGCCTGATCGGCTCCAGCGAGTGGATAGAGCAGCGGCTAGGAGTACTACAAAGGCGGTGTGTAGTTTTTGTGTTTTGATTAAGTATGGGCCAGAAGCGACCGCAACGCAATCGCTCGCCATCAAAGGAAGAACATTCTAGCACCTTTTCTACCTTAAAATAAGTGTACAGCTACACGATACTTTCCAGGGCAGTTGCCTACATCAATGTCGACCATATAGCCGGAGGCAGCTCACTAGATATAAAGGCGGTTCCACTTCTATATCGGGCAATAGTTGAAGCGTCCCAAAGGTGAACATATTTCCCAGGCTCATAGGCAATATCTGACTGATAGAGGCTTAATACAGGACGCCATACTCCGACGGCTCCACCGGCGAAAGCCTGCTTGATTCCTGGAGGAATTTCCGTCGACGCGGTCCATTTCTTGGTGATCGTGCTGTGCCCGAAATAGGCTTACCAGCAAGAGGATCAGATTACCAGGTAATTTAGAGACAGTTGTTCACCTATTTTTTTGTGCTGAAAAGAGCAGCCAAGCTTGTCAACCTAAGAGTAATGCAGGTATCCAATTCCAGTTGCAAAAAACGCTGTTACACTGACAATTTTAAAGTGATTCCTTGTTCATGCGTGAGGTGGGACATTCTTCCAATGCTCAAGGCGCATTACACCAGCACCATTCTTGATGTTAAAGGAATCTTTCACGGAAAATGCTCCCCCCATTACCACAGAAAACGATACCTTAAAAGGTATCGCGGAATCCGCGAGTTCGTGCGAAGGGATAAATTCCATTACGTCTCCCACACTATCAGATCTTGCTATCTTCTTATGTTTCCGCTGTGGCTAAGCTGAAGAGCATTATCGGCATAACTTCAACAGTGATGTTGTGAGAGGACGTTCTGAGCTCTCAGCAACACAGTATAAATGCTCGCGGATCAGAAATAAGCCGTGGTGTTGTGCTGCCGTTATCTCTCTTTTCTGCGGGCGTCCACTTTGCGAGGGGCATCCCTATGCGATCTAGCGACAGACTACTCTTTGCGATGCTCTCTCTTCTTCTCTTGCGATGCGACTTTTAACTTTTTTACATATATTTCACCTTTTTTGGACCTAGGAAGATTGGGGCGACTCGCTCATGGCATAAAAGGGTTTAGATTCTATTTTTGGTAGATTTTGCTCATTTTTCACAGTTTTTTTTATGTGGAACATTGATTTTTCAGGTCGTGCGTGCAATTTGAGATTTGAAATGTGATATTAAAGTTTAATTACCCAAGTTTGAGGTGTTGTACGTCAACAACAAATTACCGCGTGGCAGACAAAAAAGGACCAAGAAGGCCCTATTAAGTTTTCACCAAGAATCTTCTACGAAGAGTGATCATTTTGTCTGTGTAGGATTAGTATTATCGAAACTAACGCTTATGTTCCGTTCTTTTTGCTATGCTCATGAGGCTAGGGGCCTAAGGGGTTTTTCTGTGGTAATGGAGGCGGAGCTTTTTCCGCGGAAGATTCCTTTAAGATTAGCTGCGGAGATTCGCAAGTTTTGACAAAAACCCTAAGCATCCCGTAAATTACTCGGATTCACGATATCATGGGGCCTCATTACTAGGATTCATTGCTATCACGGAAACTTGCCCCCAACCTGAAGACCTCCCTGGGCTGCACAGGTTCTTTTCAGAGTTTCAGTTTGTACCACATGAGGGGGAATGACAGATGAATTGATAGCACTGGAATGAGAAGAGCCGTATTTAAAATTTTCTGCGGGCTACAAAAAGTGCTGTTAACACGGACTCACAATCATATGCTATGTGGTCTTTATTGGATAAACCGTACGCGGCGCTTTTAAAAAAGGATTGATTAAAGGAAAATGTTTCATCTTTTGGAACGATGCATAAAATTTTTTCAGAAATCACATTATAAATAAGATTTTTCCCTTCGATTATTTCCACACGAGCTTCGATCTTTGATATTAATGTTGCAAAAATAACCTGAAAAAACCCCTCTTTTGTCCCAACTTCTCCTGCGTGGAATGAGAATAGTGCTGCACTTCGTTAATTTGGTTTTCTCTTGGACAGATCTCATCTCTTGTCTGAACTTTGGCGAGCCGATAAAAAAACTCGAAATTATCTCTAGCTTGGACTTTCATCAAAATGTAGATTACGCATACAGACGATCTCAGGCTCAGAACGGCGAACACGACTCTTACGAGAGCCGGTTGCACATACATAATTGGAAGCAGGGTGAATATTAGTCGAGGATTCCTCAACGGCTTGTCGAGGATTTTCGCCTGATCAGTTACGCTCTCCCGCGCGGACATTCACACTCGCCATGCGCGAGCCGTCTGTGCTCTCCGCGCGTACGTTCACTCTCGGCACTACTCTCGCACAGTACAGAGCCATGGTCGGGTTTCTTGACCGCTATTCACCCTGATTGTAAGGCTGCCGGTGTTCACCAATCATAGGCCTTACTTGCATGAGGTCAAAAATTGTTGAACAAATTTTGTGATCCAAAAGAAGACGGAGGGTCCACTTTGTGAGTAACAAATTTTATCTTCAGCGATTCATAACATTTGCTGGGATTCCTGCAGCTGACATCAAATTGGAGCAGAGGCCTGGTCAATCGTACGCTCTTTATCACACAATGTTTGTTTCCTTGTTAAGAAGACTTTTATTAGTACTAACGATGCTAATCAATACAAACTTTGTACTCAGGTATGAAACCCCATGGACCGTTGAGAATCTGATTGATCCGAAATTCGCTTCACTCACATCTGTGGGTCAGCTGTGGGTGGAGATAGTTCATCGACTAGCTAATAGTTTGGTTAGTATTACCTTATTGTTAGTATAATGGATTGTGGTCTATCCGTCCTTTAATGTCAGTGAGTGTTCAGGTGATTCCCTTCAACGTGTTGGACTACGCTCAGTCATTGCTGGTATTGTTTCATAAGGCCGAGGTTCACTTGTCAAATATGGAGTTGACCAAAACGATCCCCTGGTTACCACATAAATTGGGTAGCTTGAAGGAAGCTCTACGTCGTTTTCACAGCACTGCTCGACTCATACAAGCCGAGGCTCAGGTTTGTTAGGTTTTGGACACTATGGTTAGGCACAGCCGAAATATCAGTAGTGACTTCCTTTAACTGCTGGGAGCAACGCCAAAAAAGAAGTCTGATTACATTCATGCCGAGCTTTCTCAAACGTGGCCTCAAAAACACGAAGTTCACAATGAAGTAGAGGTTACAAGGTATTTCTGAGAGCGAGATAAAGTTGCCAGAGGAAGTTTCCTGCTTTATCGTTAAAGCCTTGAGCAAGGATCACGTTTTGCGGGTTCAAGCTTTTTTCTTAGTTTCTTTACAGCTTCACATTTTAACAACAATTCATTTCCAGTGAGTGACCTGCGTTTAAGGGAGAACAGCCCGTTTCACCTGCGTTCTGTATAGAATCGGTCAAGTCTATCAATGCATAATTCTTTTGAAAGTCCACTCAAAGTTAAGGTGAAATCAGTCTCCGTTGGCAAAGTTCGGATCAGTGCCTTTCTTCTCTAAAAAGCCTCACCAGTAACCGGCCTATGATTGAAGGAAGATCTGTCTGCTTCAAACGGGACGTCGTCCCGTTTGAAAAGTGGTTCTGCCTACACGAACTAAATCTTGCCTTTTCTATACAGATGAAGCGGCTCAAGATGCCAACTGGAAAATTTTCACCACAGTGAGGTGCTGCACAGACAGGCTAATGGAGCTACTTTCATAATTGAATATAATAGTTGAGACGTCTATTGAATGGATCTATCCTGGCAGATAGCCTGAGAATTGTTTTGAAAATACAGAATTATTTCCACAGCTACATACGTACAGAGAGTTTGATAGCATTCGGAACATTCGTAAGAAGGGGAAGGGGTGTTAGCTTCTAATAAAAAGGCGGCTCAAAACTGATAAGATTCAACAATGCAACTTCGAAGCATGCAAGTCTTAGGCAGATGTCAGACTTCAAGAATCGAGCGATTCGCTTGCGTCAGCCGTCGCGTTGCGGTACCGGTCAACCAAGCACTCTTGACCGCAACGCGACCACGAACGCTAGCGATTCGCTCGACTCGCAAAATTTGACATCTTCTTTATTGTGTGATTACGTTCATAGTCCATATTCATCCAGAAACTTATTGTGTTTAGGACATTTCAAACGGCCTGAATGGAGTTTCCGTCCAACGGCTCAATTCTATCAACGCTCGTCTACAGTACATTGAGCGTTCGTTTCTGAACCCAATAGCCACCATGGAAGAGCCTTACTATCGTCATTTGGTATTTTCACCATCTATGCAATCGACACGAATTACATCGTTTTCCAGTATTCTTGACCCTGCTATTAGATATCATCAATCTCGTAACGAGACTCACCTGCATCATTTGGCAATGGCCATTACGAAAGTACAGTACGCAGTTGAAAGTGCCATTGATGCACTCCACTAGTATTTCGCTATTACTGGTATGATACATGGACTTTCATTTACAGTGAGCCTTAACAAAGTGAAATTCGCTCATACCGTCTTGCATTTCGAAGATCTTTCAAAAAGTCGCTGCTTATTTTGTTTTATCAATTTATTGATCAACGACAATTACGTGTTCTGATAATCACTTCCATAATATTATATTTACAATTTGCAGTGCAATGCGTGCTCATTTAGGCCACAATTTTTTCTCATTGTCTTTGTGTCTCCACATAGTTGGTTACTGAACGTTTTTAGTCTCTCATTCTGAGAAGTATTGTAGCCCTTGCTGTTGTAAATACGTAACATCAGGAGTTTCAATTCTTGGTCCTCAAAGGGCCGCGTTTTTCGGCACGCGCGTTTCACCTTTTGCTTCGAAGTTTGATCATCCACGGGTGTCCCCAACAGGCCCACCGCGCGGCGAAGGAAGAGACGCAGACGCGGCAAAGGACGAGTCGCAGCGCATACTGTAGCGGTTAGGCGTCAGGTTAAATAGAGTGTACCATACTACGTCTCATATCGCACAGCACGCGCTGCGACTCGTCCTTTGCCGCATCTGCGTCTCTTCCTTCGCCGCGCGGTGGGCCTGTTGGGGGACACCCATCATCCACCCAGGGTGCTGAAGAGATCGAGACTAACTGTGCGTAGAAGCAATTTTGAAACTACAACAAAATTTGTCTTCCGAATTCCGAGCACATAAATCATGTCGCTTTTTGATGGGCCTGCTTAATTCTGGTTCCTCAGATTCAACAATCACTGAACAACTTTCATCAGCTCTGAGTAGGAGCCAATCATGGAAAAACTTCGAAGCACGTTAGATTATTGCTAGCCGGACTGAAACCAAGGAAACCACTTTTCGCGTTATTACTTTAGTCGTAGACCATAAAATGTCTGTATACTTGAATCTATTAGGAAGAAAAGTCCCATAGCAATGTGATTGGAAAAATTATATCTAGTAGCTGAGCAGTATTCGAGACCCGGATTATTCTATTGTATTCTCGTTTTGCCGATCTCGTTTGCCCATGAATACTATTGTGATAGCTGTCAATAATTGTGAAGATCCCCTAATAAGTGTATAAACAATAATTCGAAATTAATATTGTAATTGTTGCACTTATTTTTCCTGTTCTCAACATCGTCTACAACCGCGAGAGGCAGCCATGATAGAACTTTGAAAAATATCGTCCCAACGGGGTACCACGGATCCCATGATTCATCTCGCTTACCGAGCCTCACCTTCAATCCTCCTGAAACTTTCCCAAGCGTACTCAAAAAAATCCCAAAATTCCTCGAATTTGGGAGGTTCTCCAAAACTCTTCTGGTTTCTTCTGAAATTTCCATGACACCAAACAAATCGTGCTCCTATCGAATGAATATATCTAGTCCCTTTGGTACGACTTCCCCCAACCAAAAAGTCCAAATTTCGCTCCTGGATCATGTGTTGCGTGGTGGACAGAGTCAAGCTCGGGACGAGGAAACTGATAGATACACTTCCTCCCCCTGTAATAACTCTTTTCTGCGTTGAGACGTGAAGAGATGCGATTACTCCTCAATATACTATGTGCGTGTTGACCACACAGCAAATTACAATGTCTACTAGGGAAACGCGAGAGAATTGAACGCATCTGACCATAACTTTCTTCACAGTGGACGAATTTTCAGCCTGAAAGAAGATTTGGAATACCCTCCAGTACTTTCTAAATTGTGCCGAAAGAATTTAAAAAGAACCAGTTTTGCTTCGCCCGCTATCGCGCGCATCACACGGCAGGCTTTAGCGAAACTGGAGGACCCATGGAATATCAGCATGAGATACTCCATTAACCATCTCACTATTGAATGTGTTAGACCTCCACAGTTTCACTGAAGCTCATCGAGAATACGCGTGATAACGTCTGGAGCTGAACTGGTATATTGATCACAACAGTAAACATCCAACATTTTTCTTGGATTAAGA